CTTGACTGTGCTTATGCAAAACCTACACTTGGACCGGGAATCAGTCCTCAGTACAAAGCAGAGAAACACTGCATGGTTCAGAATCAGGGAGGGAGTCCATCAGGGATGTGTTCTGTCTCCATAACTTTTCAACCTATATGCAGAACAGATCATTCAGGAGGCTGAGTTTTATGAAGAGGATTGTAGCTTCAGGATTGGAAAAACACTCATCAACAACCTACATTATGCAAATGACACAACCTTGCTTGCTGAAACTGAGGTGGACCTGAAGCACTTGGTGCCAAAGATCAAGGACTGTAGTCTTAAAGATTCTCACCACTAGGTCAGTGGGCAGCACCATGATGGATGAAGAGATTGAGTTTAACAGAGCTTGGCTCCTCATTTAACACTCTTGGCTCCAGCAATGTGGAAATCAAAAGATGAATTGCATTATGTAAATCTGCTTTCAGGGACCTTTCCAGAATAGTGAGAAGCAACGATGTTAGTCTAGAGACTAATAAGGTGCACCTGATCCAGTCCATGGTCTTTGCAATTACTTGCTATGCATCAGTGGGCTGGATAATAACTAAGGAAAATAGAAGAATTGATGCCTTTGAGTTTTGGTGCTAGAGAAGAGTCAAACATATAATATAGACCACCAAGAAAACAAATAGATCTGTCTTGTAGAGGGTTAAACCAAGTTTCTCCTTGGAGGCAAGGATTTTGACTCTCTATCTCATATATTTTAGGGATGTGGCCAGGAGTGACTGATCCTTGGAGCCTTCTCCATCATGCTTGGAAGGGTAGAGGGACAGCATAGGAGAGGAAGACCCTGGATGAGATGGATTGATACAGTATCTAGGGCAATGGGAGTAGGCGTGTTGTAGTCATTGAGACTGCCTTAAGACAGGTCAGTCTTCATAGGGTCACTTTGAGTTGCAGGCGACTTGATAGCATATAACAACAAAACAACATATGCATTCTACATTGATTTAGTAAAAAAGTTAATTTCAGATATGCATTATGTTGGAGTGCCAAGTATTGAATGAAGAAGGTCTGGTGATTAAAAAAAAAACCCAACCTTAAATGGCTGTTGTACTTTGTGCCTTAAAATTTCAGGAAGGGCACATCAAATGGCTTCATATTTGCATATCTCGGTTCCAGAACATATGAATAGACTCTTAACATTCACTCTAAGATGTTCTTCAACTACCAGAACATCATGTCTCTTCAGCAGATCATTCTTTGATAAGGAAATTATTTTTACAAATTCTCTATCCCCCACCTTCGGTTTGGGTCTTTTATTTGCAGCATGATCTCCATTGTTACTGTCACGACAGGGGCAGTACAATTTGATAAACCTGGATCCATACATAAAACTGGCATTTGGCAACATCAACTTTATAACCAGTATCTTCTTCAAGCTCTTGTAAGAGAGCGCCTTCTGGCTTTCATAATCATCTATGAGACCTACACAGAACCCTGTGCAATAAGGGTGGAACTTTTTCACCAGAACAATACATTCATGATGAAGAGTTCTTTGCAGCATTAGAATAATTGCCACACCGCTGGCAGACTTTTCCTTTCTTGGTTGTGATTTTCAGAGTTTCCCACGTTCTTCTTTTAACATTAGGATCCATGTAAGTTGTTTTTTTAAGCTTGACCCAGAATTGATGGCATACCAATTGGTATATTCCAACAAACAGATGTCGCCCTGGATGTGCTCTCCAAGTTGTGCCAAGAAATCTGGAGGACAACCTACTAGCCAACTAGACAACCAGCTGAATGGAAGAGATCCAGATTTGTTCCCATTCCAAAGGTGACCCAGCAGAGTGTGGAAATTATCAAACAGTATCATCGCTGTCACATCCAAGCAAGATTCTGCTGAAGATTATCCAAAAACTACTGGAATAACACGTGAACAGGAAACTGCCTGAAGTGTAAGTGGATTTAGAAAAGGCTGTAATAGGCGAGCTCTGGTGGCCTAGTGGCAAGAAGCTGCACTGTAATCCCAGAGGTACGCGGTTCAGATCCACCAGATGCTCTGCTGAAGAAGGAGGAACAATCGCCTCCTGTACCAGTCAGATCCGATTTGACGGTACACACATTTTTTAAAAAAGGCCATAATACTAGGGATATTATAGCTAACATCAGATGGATATTGGCTGAATGCAGGGAGTACCGGAGGAATGTCTATATCTGTGTTTCATTGACTCTGCAAACACATTTGACTATGAGGATCACAACAAACGGTGGCTGACCCTGAGAAGAATGGGAATCCCAGAATACTTGATTGTGCTTATACAAAACCTCTACTTGGGCCAGGAGGCAGTCGTCAGAACAAAGCAAGGAAACACTCATGGTTCAAAATTGGGAAATGTGCACGCCAGGGATATGTCGTATCTCCATATCTTTTCAATCTATATGCAGAACAGATTATCTGGAGGCTGGGCTCTGTGAGGAGAAATGAGGCATCAGGATTGAAGGAACACTTCAGTAATCCGTGTTATGCCATTACCATAGGGTCGCTATGAGTCGCAAGCGACTCGATGGCACATAACAACAACAACATGCCATTAACGCAACCCTGTTTGCTGAAACTGAGGAGGACCTGAAGTGCTTGTTGCAGAAGGTCAAGGACTGCAGCTTTCAATATGGATTGAAGCTCAGCATCAAGGAAACAAAGATTCCCACCAGAATGTGACGCTATGAGTCACAGGCGTGTTATCCACTTCCTCAGCAACATGCCTCTGGAAACTATGAACTTTGATAAATGTCTGCGGTTGTAGAGCGGCTTCATACCTTTTGTTCATAGGATCACTATGAGGCATGCTCAACTCAAAGGCAGTCAACAACAACATGAGTCACAGACTCTAAGGCACATAACATTTTTCTGAAATTAACTCCTCTGAAATAATAGGCTGTTTGAGAAGAGCCTATTGCTTCTTGGTTTTCCATTTTCCCACTGGTTAGTCATTGCAGACTTCAGGTAAGAAGTTCACGTCCAATTTGTCAAATGAAGAGAATTCTTTAGGGATATGAAAGAAGAAAAAACAAGTCTGAAGCAGCAGTCTCTGGAGATGTGGATGCTGCTGCTGCTTCTTGAGACAACTGCGTTTTGCGCTGGCTCCCCCTATACCTTTTTTAATTCATTGCTGGTGGGTTGATTTCAACTCATAGTAACCCTAAAGACCAAGATACAGCTACTCCATAAGGTTTCTCTGAGACTGTGCTCTTTTTAGTGTGATATAAGTGAACGTTTATAATAAAGTATATTAATTTTTCTTTCAGTCATATACATTTTGTTTTATAATATTAATTATAATACCTACAATGTAATCTTTTTCTATTTTCTCCCTGTAATTATCTGATGTCCATTACCAAGGTTATATTCTTTATGGAGATGGATTGCTACATCTTTCTTCTGTGGAGCGACTGGTGGGTTCAAACTGCCAACCTTTATGTTGGCAAGTGATCATATAACCTCATTACCAGGGTTCCTTAACACCATTTATTTCCCTCTAAGGGCAATAAGTCTAGCATAGCACATCATGAGCTGTTTCCATAACCGTGACTGTTGGTGCTGTTATGTGCCAGTTGAATTGGAACCAACTCATAGCTGACCCTCTCCAGCAGGTTTCTCAGAGGCTGTAAATCGCATGGAAAGAAATTTTACAGAGCAGATGGTAAATCCAAACCATTTGCCTTTGAGTTGGCAGCAGAACTCCTTACCACTGAACCATCAGAATTCCTTTTGCCCATGACTGCTCTTTCCTATTTGGGGCTAGATAGTGTAAAGTAAAGCAAGCTCTGTTATAAAGAGATCTATGAGCAGCTTTGCTTTTAGAATGGGACATTGATTACCCTACAGGAAAGCATTTTTTAAACGTTAGATACCTTTGAAGAAACTGGTAACAACTGGTAATAGGAGTTGGAAGCATTTGATTAGTGAAGAATTTTTAATTCCTGGCTCCTTGCAGCATCGCCGCCAGCACCACTTCCCCTTTCGTGTTCCTGATCAAGCAGAGCTGATCCTGGTTGGAGGTGTTGGGAGTCTGTGTTTCACAGCTCTGATCACAATAGACAGTATTTTCTTTGGCTGTGAGCTCTCTGGTGATACTCAGTCCTTCACCTTCAAAGTAGAGGAAGAGGGTGATGCTGAACATGTGTTTGCCAAAGGGCCCAAGAATAAGTGTAATGTGATAGAATTTGTGTTCCAGAACCATGACCATCAGGAGATTGCAGTCCCTGGGGCCAACCTGAGATTGTCCTGCCAACCTATGCTTAGCTTAGATGAGGCTCCAGCCTACTGTAACCTTTGTCTGAAGTGACGCTTTGGGCCTGTGAAGATTACCTGGTGGCATCAGATTGTGACTAGAAGCAGTAACATTTCTGAGGAGTAGGAAAGTGAGGAGGTGGAAGCTGAATTGTTCCTTCTCCTGCCTACCAAGAAGCAGAAAGCCAGGCATTACCAGTCTCAGAATTTGAAATGTTTCTTCTCCATTGATGGAGAAGTGTTGGGACAAGGATAGGGTAGGGGGCATGCTAAAACTGGTGTTAGGAGAAAAGGGAGCCCATTCTCCCTAGGATCGTGTTCTAGACCCAACTGTGTCTGGGACTTTTCCTCTTCTCTAGAAATAGAGGGAACACTGAACTTTTCTCTTGACCCTCTCCCCTACCTTCTCATGAGAATTAGAGGTCAGTAGTTGAAGCTCCGGATTAGACATTTTTATCCCTTTTTACATTTTTGGTTAAAGGTGGAAATAAAATGACATGTGTGCTTTTGCAAATTAAAAAAAAAAAAAAGAGGGTTTAATTACATAGGAACTTCATATACAGAGTTAACTCCTGTTAACATAAACAACTGAATCACCTCTCAAGATTTTGTCTTTGGTTAACAGAGTAGCAATAATGACTAAGGATCAGTGGTTATCCCACTTTTCCCTATTGCCCCTCTTGTTCATTCCCTAGCTAATATGTAGCCGATCTCTTAGTACAACTTTTTTTTTTTTTTAACTTAGGAGCCTTGAGTCACATGACTGGTGAACTGAGCAAAGATGGTGACCTGGTTGTCAACATGCGGATTCTAGGCAAGAAGAGAACTAAGACATGGCACAAAGGCACCCTTATTGCCATCCAGACAGTTGGTATGTTCAAATTAGAGGAAAAACCGTGAAAGGCAACCTTATAGGTTACCATTGCCCATTGTTTGTTTAACCCCATAGTTTTTCCTTTTGTGTCTTACGTACGTAGCAGCCAGAATTTACACTGAAAACTGTTTAATTTGTTGTCTTTTCTTCTCAGGGCCAGGGAAGAAGTACAAGGTTAAATTTGACAACAAAGGGAAGAGTCTGCTGTCAGGGAACCATATTGCTTATGATTACCACCCGCCTGCTGACAAGCTGTATGTGGGTAGTCGAGTCGTGGCCAAATACAAAGATGGGAATCAAGTCTGGCTCTATGCTGGCATTGTAGCTGAGACACCAAACGTCAAAAACAAGCTCAGGTACCTGGACAGAGGATAGTAAAGGAAATGGAGAAGGGGAGAACAGCACCTCCCCTGTTTAAACCATAGTCCAGATTTCACAATTAGCTTTTGTGTTCTTAGTCCCCTGTGACCAGAAACTCATCTATTTCTTTGCAACAGAAGTCATGTGCATGATTCTTATTCTTTCTCTTTTTAAAAAAAACTTTTTTTCTTAAGAAGACAACTTGAGAGAGGAGAGAACTGGAGAATAATCAAGATTAAACAATGATCCTTGGAATATAAGAAGAAGGAAGAGATTAAGTGAAGTCTAAATGGTTTACAACAGAAATCTGATAGAGGAACAAGAATAAATGTTTTTGAACACAAAGGAATATGTTGGTTAGATTAAGAGAGAACTTTTAAATCCTGATGTAGAAAGAAAGAATACCATATTTTCACATGCTATGTCCCCCCTTAATACACACATTGCACACATAATAAATTGAGATGCAAGCAGGTTGCATAGTTTGCCAAAACCTTAACAGATGCACAGTATTTATGTAAAAATAATAGAAAGCAGCTGATTGAAACAGTCCCTGGAGGGTATCCTATGCTGACCCATTTCTGTAGAGGATGTTGAATGTGCCCTGTGTTCCTAGTCCCCAAATCTTTGTACCATAATTTTCTTCTTACAGGTTTCTCATTTTCTTTGACGATGGTTACGCTTCCTATGTCACACAGTCTGAACTGTATCCTGTTTGCCGGCCATGTGAGTTTACAGTCTTCCTTTATTCTGTTTTCTTTCTTCTTCTGCCTTGCATTTCTTCTTAAAATGCCCAGTTGAAAATCCTTACTTTGTTTTTTTCCTTAATTTGGTGCCCAAGATTTTTCCCCAATCTCAGGAAGAAACTTAAACTTGATTGGTTTTTGTGGGTTTTTTTTTGGTGTGGGGTGGTTGTTTTGGTGTTTTGGGTTTTTTTTTACAGATAGTTTTATCTCCAGCTCTGGGTCTTTAGAACTAAAGAGTACAGCATTAGAAGATTGTGACTGACCCTGGGTGAACTGTTCTTACCTTAGATGGATGTTTATTTTGTTTCTAAATTATTTCAATTTAGAGAAGTATTGTTTCTTTTCTATTTTCATGCTTCATTGAATATTCATATAAATTTGCTGTCTGCATAGAGCTTTCCATAGAAACTACAGTGACATCATCATGTTCTCCATACTTATTACTCTTTCTTAGAAATGAAATCCCACAAAATAACTGTTAAGTTGCTATAACTAGCACTTCTGTGTTTCTATATAACATGGCAGTAACACATTTAAGGCTCCTTAAAAGCCCAGTAAAGAAAGAATGATTTTTTTGTTACCATCTGATCTTTTTACCTTTTTATATTAACCACTCCTAAGAAACAAACAAAATCACACTGCCGTTGTCAGTCAGTTCTAAATCATGGTGACCCTCCAGTGAGTTAGTTTCTGAAGTGTAAATCTTAACAGGATCAGAGGGCCTCATTTTTCTTATCTTTTTCCTGTGGAGCAGCTGGTGGATTAAAAAAAAATGGTTTGCAACCCAACACATGGCAGAAATTTTCATTTCTATTTTTCTTTTTTTTTTTTCTATAATTTATTAGTTTTCATAAACATTTACAGAGATTTTGGGTTTCCATTCATTCATAATTTAGTTTTCTTGTCCAAATGCCACAGTGCTTGTCAAAGCCAGTTCTGATTAATCTTCTTTGTCAGTGTGTCCTTTGCCATTCCCTATCACTCCTCCCTGCATTTCTATTTTTCTAATAGCATTCCTTTATAGGAAAGATTGGCATCAATCGTATTTCTTACTTATGATTTCCTTAAGTGTATATTTGCACAGTAGGTTAAATACTGATGTGATCTTAGTTTTACTCTTCTTAAAATGTCTTTCCCCTGCCACCTTAAAAAGTACCAAATAACGGCGAGCTCTGGTGGCCTAGTGGCAGGAAACTGCACTGCAATCCCTGAGGTGCGGGGTTCAAATCCACCAGATGCTCTTCTGAAGGAGGAACAATCGCCTCCTGTACCAGTCAGATCCAATTTGACAGTACACACATTAAAAAAAAAAAGTACCAAATATCTTCTAACTAGCCATTTTTCCCTATCAAGAAGCCCTGCTTTCCCTTTCTCAACACTTTTTTTTTTCTTGTAACAGTGAAAAAGACTTGGGAGGACATAGAAGATATTTCCTGCCGCGACTTCATAGAGGAATACATCACTGCCTACCCTAATCGCCCCATGGTGTTGCTCAAGAGTGGCCAGCTTATCAAGACTGAGTGGGAAGGCACATGGTGGAAGTCCCGGGTCGAGGAGGTGGATGGAAGTCTAGTCAGGATCCTCTTCCTGGTACTGTTTATTCCCAGAGCTTTTAAGACAGGAGTATGGGTACAGAGGAGGCAATAATGAAGATGATTTCATAGATGTTGCTGCTGCTGTTGTTGTAGTGTACCAGAGAATCGAAACTGACGCATAGCTGACCCATTAGCAGGTTTTTAGAGGCTATACATCATAGAAGAGGAGATTGCCCATCTTTCTTCTACATAGTGGTGGATTTGAACTGCGTTCCTTTAATTTGGCATACAACTCCTTTCCATTCAGCCACCAGAGCTCCTGATTTTATACATACGCTTTAGTTTTTCTCAAAGTCAAACTACTTTGTTTTTCTCTTCCTTTGTGGATAACTACTGAAAATTTTCAGTCTATATGGTTTTGATTTTTTTTCCTCGCATTGAGGTTAGGTACTGAGAAGGTAAACAGTTCAGCTTGCCCTTGTTTAGGGGTTTGTAGAGCAGTGGGGTAAAGAGTTGGAATTAACACTGAAATTTTTATTTTTTTTCAAGACTGGTTTAGTTTGACTCTGATCTTCTGTCCCTTCCTTTTCTTCCCTTTCAATCTTGCTTGAATTAAAAATTCTTATATTACCTCAATCTGTTGTTCCTAAACTTTTGTCATCTTTGTAATAACTTAGTATTGACATCTGCTTGTTCATAATTTCTTAATGTATATTGTTATTTATATTACTTATACCTACTACATGCATAGCATAACATACAAGTTTGTTGAATAGTTAAGAGGGTCAGGGCTCATTAGGGAGTTTTTCCAGAGGAGATACATGAATGTCTGTTCTCTGCCTATCACAGATTAGATCGTGACCATAACCTATTCCTACCCCTCTCCACATCCCCTAGGATGACAAAAGATGTGAATGGATCTATCGAGGATCTACAAGACTGGAGCCTATGTTCAGCATGAAGACATCTTCAGCCTCTACATTGGAGAAGAAGCAAGGGGGACAGATGAGAACACGTCCAAACATGGGTATATCCTAACAGAGATACCCTGGGGCAAGGAGAAATGGGTCCAAACCAGCCAAGGCAGTTCTGGACAATGACCTTCCTGTGTGTTCTCCAGGATGACGCTAGTGACTCCTGCAAATGGGGCATATACCCTGTCCTGTTTTCAGTAGACTTGATGGATTTGTGGTTCTACCTCCACATAGACTCTGATTCTTTCAATTCAACTCCATCAAAATCTAAAATTACTGAATTAGATTAGGGGTTATTCCTGTTATTCACTTGTGAATTTTAGGCTTTGAATGCTACTTGTCCACAGGAGAGAAGGATGGGCAATCTCCTCCTGTGCGATTAGCTGCCTCTGAAAACCCACTGGAGGGTCAATGATGGGTCAGTTTCTACTTGATGGTACACAACAACCACCATGCTACCTATGGAGCCTGAGTGGCCTAGGGTTTAAGGAGTTGCAGTGCCAACCCAAAAGGCAGGAGGTTCAGATACACCAGCAACTCCTTAGGACAATGATAGGTAATCTCTCAAGTGATTTACACATTCTGAAACCCACTGAAGGGTTAAAAACAATGAGTTTGAGAGGTTTTTTATGCTCTTTGTTGTTGTAATCTGCCATCCAGTATAATAGCTCTGAAACCCTCCCTTTCCTGAGCCAATCTCACTATATCCAACAAACCTGCTCCTGTTGCCCCACTTACTGTGTCTGTAATCTCATCTAGGGTCTTCCTCTCCTGTGCTGTCCTCCACCCTTCCAAGCATAATATTCTTCTCCAAGGACTGGTCCCTCCTGGCCATATGCCTAAAGTATGTGAGACAGGGCTTCAAAGTCCTTGCCTCCAAGGAACAGATTGCTTTTACCCTCTCTAGGAAAGACTTGTTAGTTCTCTTGACAGGCCAAGAGAACTCTTCTCCAGCACCGCAGTTCAAAGGCATCAATTCTCCTGTCATCCTTGGTAACTGTCCAGATCTTAGATGCATAGCAAGTAACTGCAAAGACCATGGCCTAAATCAGATGCACAGTAGTCTCTAGACTGACATTGTTGCTCTTTACCACTATGAAGAGGTCCCTGACAGCAGATTTTCCAAATGCAGTTCGTCTTTTTATTCCCTCAGTGCTGGTACCATTAATTGTGAAACTGAACAAGCGAAAATTGTTAACAGCCTTGATCTCTTCTCCATCTGTCATGGTGCTGCCAGTTGGCCCGTGGTGAGAATTTGAGAATCGAATCTTGATGTTGAGCTTCAATCCATATTGAAGCGTACAGTCCCTGACCTTCTGTAACAAATGCTTCAGCTCCTCCTCAGTTTGAGCCAGCAGAGTTGTGTCATCTGCATAAAACAGGTTGTTGATGAGTCTTCCTCCAATCCTGATGCCACATTCCTCATCATAAAGTCCAGCCTCCTGAATGATCTGTTCTGCATATAGATTGAAAAGATATGGAGACAGGACACATCGCTGATGCACTCCTTTCCTGATTTTGAACCGTGCAGCATTTCCTTACTTTGTTCTGAGGATTGCTTCCTGGTTCAAGTATAAGTTTCACATGAGCATAAGTGTTCTGGGATTCCCATTCTTCTGAAGTTTAGCCACAATTTGTTGTGATCCACATATGCTGTCTAGGACCAATTTTTTTTATTTTATTCATTTTTTTTTAGATCAGAATGTTTTGTTGGGTTGTATTTTTTTTCTGTACCTCACATACATTGGTTTCTTTCCTCTTAACATTACTTGATCAACAAATGCATATTTAAAAAAATACTCACCAAGGTTTATAGCATCTCTCTCATTACTCTCAAGTTGGAACCAACTCATAGCTGACCCTCCTGGATTTCTGAATGTGTAAATCACACAGGAGATTATCTATCTTTGTCTCAAGAAGCTGCTAAAGATTTGAACCACCAGACATTTGGATTAACAGCACAGCTCCCTATGATTACAACTCCCTACAGATTATCCCTCCAATTGTTCTTATTCTCTCAAGTTGGAACCAACTCATAGTGGACACTCCATCCGGTTTTCAGGGGCAGTAAATCACATTGGAGGAGATTGACCATCTGTGTCTCACAGAGCATCTGATGGATTTGAATCACATACCTTTGGATTGGCATCACAGCTCATTATCACTAGGCCACCAGAGCTCTCCAACAATTTAACTTAATGAGAGATATCTTCTGAGATAAGAAGACAAAGGTTCTTTTACGTTAAAATCCAATATAAATGTTGTCTATTATATGAGCCAGCATTCTCACTCATTGGAGCAAGTAATGGGAACTGACATTTTAGCATGTACTCAAAATGTTTCTGTTGATTACATTTTTGTTTGTTTGTTTAATATTAAATAAATTCAGAAGCATTTAGTGAATGGATACAGGTTGCACAGTTATCTTCTGGATTGCAGCGCTGATTTGTACCACTAGGCCACCAGAGCCTTGGTAGTTAACATCTTCTGACTAGATTAACTTTGTTTTTCTGTAGGTGCTGTAAGGAGTAAAGGCCCAGTGGTCCAGTACACCCAGGATCTGACCAGTACTGGAACTCAGTTCAAGCTGTTGGAGCCCCCACAGCCTCCTGCTCCACCTGTCCTACCTGTTCCCCTACCTGCTCCACCTCTGTCCCCCCAGGCAGCTGACATTGAGTGAGTGCTATTCCTTCTTTTTTTCCCAATTGCTTTTATATCATATTTTCTATATCCTTTACTGTATGATCTCTTCTTTGTTTTACAAGTTTGGAAAGCCAGCTTGCCCAGTCACGGAAGCAAGTAGCCAAAAAAAGCACTTCATTCCGTCCAGGATCTGTGGGTTCTGGTCATTCATCTCCTACATCCCCTACTCTCAGTGAAAATACTCCTGGAAAACCTGTTATCAGTCAGACATACAGGTGAGAAAATCTAGCCTTATTTACAAACTGATAGTGTAAATTGTGACCACTGTATTGGGAAAAGTCCTTAGTCACAAAGACCTTAGTTAATATTGTAACAGGGATTTAGACTGGAAAAGAAAGCTTAATTTTAGCGTATTCTGAGAAACAAAAAGTATGAATAACTCCCTTGCAAACTGGATACCTGCAAATATAGCATCACCAGAAAGCCATTTGTTAAAATTTCTCCTTGAACATGGTGCTATTACTGGTACAGTGGAAACACCATGGTACTTTCACTTGAGTCCTAGAAATTAATATGAACATTTGTAGGATTCTTAGCAGGGGAAAATCATTGGTAGAAGACTAGCCTTTACTTCCTTAATTCATAGGCACATAAATTTTCGAGAACAGTTAACATGGTTGAATTAGAAATATCAGTGAAGAATAGCAAGGAGTTTTACTGCCAGCCTGAGTAAGCAAGGATAATTTTACTTTCTTTTGTAATTATTTAGCTTTAAATCCATCAATATTGGAAAGATGAGAAATTGGCATAGCTGGGTGACAGTTATAGAGAGGTCTTGTTGCCTTCTTACCTGATCTTTTATTTCATTTACAGATTACCTTTAATCTCAACAACAACTGCTCCGACAACAGCTACCCCAACACCCCCAGCACCTCCAACACCCCCAGCACCCCCAGCCCCTCCAGCCCCTCCAGCCTTTCATGGCATGCTGGAGAGGGCCCCAGCAGAGCCATCCTACCGTGCCCCCATGGAGAAGCTATTGTATTTACCTCATGTCTGTAGCTATACATGTCTGTCTCGAGTCAGACCTATGAGGAGTGAGCAGTACCGAGGCAAGAACCCTCTGCTAGTCCCATTACTCTATGACTTCCGAAGGATGACAGCCCGTCGTCGAGTGAACCGCAAGATGGGCTTTCATGTCATTTACAAGACACCCTGTGGCCTCTGCCTTCGGACAATGCAAGAGATTGAACGCTACCTTTTTGAGACTGGCTGTGACTTCCTCTTCCTGGAGATGTTCTGCTTGGATCCCTATGTTTTTGTAGACTGCAAGTTTCAGCCCTATAAGCCTTTTTACTATATTTTGGACATCACCTATGGGAAGGAAGATGTTCCTTTATCCTGTGTCAATGAGATTGACACAACGCCCCCACCCCAAGTAGCCTACAGCAAAGAACGTATCCCAGGAAAAGGTGTTTTCATTAACACAGGCCCTGAATTTCTGGTTGGCTGTGACTGCAAGGATGGGTGCCGAGACAAGTGAGTTGAAGGGAAAATTAATATCCCAACTTCCAAATTCTTCTCTTTCCAATCTCCTCTGTGTTTTGTATCTGCACTGTTTCCTTGTTTCTCCATCTCCTTTTCATTCCCTCAGCTGGAGTTCTGTTCTAAGGCTTCCAGGAAAAATGAGGTACAGAGGCTGGGATCTGGCTTCATCCTTTTGAACAACCCTAAGTACATGCTATCCTGTGTTTATATCTTTCTCTGGCTGTTGTTCCTCCATCATATTCTCAGTTGCCACCTTCTTTCATTTTTTTTCCTCTCTTACCTGATTCTTGTTTTATTGTCTTTGTCTTTTCCTTCCTCATTTACATGAGAAAAATAAAAATTTCGGTACTGTGCCTGCAGCTTTGACTCTACCCTGTGTCAACAGAACAAATCCGGCCCAGCCCCGCCCCGCCCTCACCATTGCTGCTGTACAGGAGCCATTGTTGCAGTCACTCCTTATTGGGCATCTTCCTCTCTTTTTTTTTTTCTGACCTTATCCTTTACCAAACATGATACCTTTCTCCAAAGATGGCCCTTCTTAACCATATGCCTAAAATATGTGAAGCCTCTGCCGGGCAAGGAGGGACAATCTCCTCCTGTACCAGTCAGATCTGATTTGATGGTACACGCACACAAAAATAATAAAATTAAAAAAAAATGTGAAGCCTCACCATCTTCATTATTAAGGAACACTTTGTGCTTTTTCCAAAACTAGTATTTTTTCTTTTGGCATTCCGTGGCATCATAGTCTTCACCAGCACCACAGTTCAAAGATGTCAGTTCTTTTTTTCAATCTTTATTAATTATCCAACTTTCACATGCATATGAGATAATTAAAAATACCATGAGTTGGGTTAAGTACATCTTAGGTGCTCAAAGTGACACCCATGCTGTTCAACACTTAAAAAAGGTTCTTGGAGCAGATTTGCTCAGTGGACACATAGTTTAAGTTCTTGACTGCTACTTCTGTTTGCTGTTGATTCTGGATCCCAGTAAAATGAAATCTTTGACAGCATCAGTGATTTCTGTTAACTTTGATATGTTTGGATCCATTTACGAGGACTTTTGTTTTCTTTATGTTGCAGGTCCAAATGTGCCTGCCATCAGCTAACTATCCAGGCTACAGCCTGCACCCCAGGGGGCCAAATCAACCCCAACTCCGGTTACCAGTATAAGAGACTAGATGAGTGTCTGCCCACAGGGTAAGTTGTTTTTGTTGTTATGTGCTGTGGAGTCGTTTGCAACTCATAGCGACAACAGCCCTAAACCCTGCTCTGTCCTGTGCCAATCGCATTGCCTCTGACACACCCATCCCGATTACCCCAGTCACTGAATCAGTCCACCTCATAGAGGGTCTTCCCCTCCTGTGCTGTCCCTCCACCCTAGTAGTTAAGGTAAAAAGAAATAACTCAGAGGTTATAGGACATATTTAGGGGAGTTTTGTGCTTATAGAAGCAAGAATCTTTAAGAAGCGAAAATAGAATACTGGAAAAGGTACTTTATTTTCTAATTGTATAATCTGTTTATTCTTTTGAGCTTTTCTAGGTGAAGATATAGGATGACTAAATAGTTTCTAGCACTTTTGCAGTAAAATGCTAACCTCAATTTAATAATTGGGTGAACGTCTGAACAGATTGGCATTTATTTTGACAAGTTAAATCTTTGGAAATTAATTTTGTGAGAACAAAGGGTAGGGAGAGGAAAGAGCTACACAGAAAACTTCTCTTCTTATGGGGTTGTCTGTGTGGTTAGAAACACCACCACACATCATGTAAAACAACTCAGAAGAATACAAATCATTTTCGTCAAGCCAGAACCGACTCATAGCTGACACTCTTAACAGGTTTTCAGAGGTTTTAAATTATGTGAGAGTAGATTGCTCAGCGTCTCCCATGGAACAGCTGCTACATTCAAACTGGCAAGGAGGCACTGCCTTTGGGTTACCAGCCCAATTCCCTATGACTCCTCCAAAACAACTAATAAACTTAAATTGATTGAATGCAGATAAAGCTATGCACTGAAAGGATCACAATGGGATTGAGTAAAGTAATCTTCCTAAAAGAAAGAATTTTGGGAGGTTGGCAGAAGTAAACAGAAGTTAGCATTAGTCATTCCAAATTAGGAGGAAGGTAAGGTGCATAGCACCCAAATCCTTAAAATTGTAAATTTTAGCATAAAATGAAAATTTGTTATTTTTGTCAACATAAAAGACACTTTTTTTAATGCCAAATGTTCAGACATGAGCTCAGGTGGGAGTGGGCAAACCAATGTTTATTTATTGTTGTTATTGTGAGCCATCAAGTCAGAACTAACTCATAGACTGTAAATTGCTTGAGAAGAGATTATCCATCTTTCTCCCACAGAGCAGCTGGTGGATTTTAACAGCCTACCTTTGATTGGCAGGGTAAGTCCTTACCATTAAGCCATTAGAGCTCCCTTCATATTTGTTAAGTGAAGGTAATTTCCCAGATATTTATTAAATAAGGAATAGGCTTTGTGCGCTGCATTAAAATACAAATACAAATGAAACATAATCCCTGACCTAAAGGAAAGGTCTGAAAAGAAGAACTTGTGTAAACAGATAATTTGTGATACAGTTATTCTATTTCTTCATCTGAAAGATGTTTTCTGCGAGGATAGAATTTACTACTCTAGAACCTAACAAATAGTAGACAAGCTAGTAAACCTGTTAGATAGCTTCTCTGAAGGAGCAGCTGGTGCATTCAAACCACTTCCCTTTGGCTTGGCAGCACAACTCTTTACCAAGATTAGATTCCCTTGTATTATTGTGCTTCCATTTATTGAGGGACTGGAAGTTAAAATATGAGAGAAAGGAAAGTGCTGTGCAGACGATTGCGACTGGAAGATGTGTTTGAATTCTTCTGAGTGAGAAGCATTTAGGTTAATATCTGAATGACAAGAAGGCACTAAAGACTCAAAATCAGCTGGGAGAACACTTGAGTCTTACAGAAATTCTAAGACAAAAATGAATTTACCAGTAAATTCAAGGTCATGGAGAAAGATAGTTAACTGGAACATGCTTCTCAAAGCAGATAATGATAGATTTGTTAAAACAGGAGGGGTAGGCAGAGATGTGTTTCTATAGGCCTTTGTAAGCCAAAATAAAGAGTCAAATTTTAGAGACAATAGGAAGCCATTTGTGAGAGAAGAAAAGGCTTAGACCAATGGGATAGAATTGAAAATTCAAAAAATTCGTATATATGTAGACAACTGATTTTTCTTTTCTTCCCCCAAAGATACTGCCACCTTTTAAACTTTAGTTCATTAAATGACTTTAACACTACCACCCCCGCCTAAAAAAAAAGCTAAGCTACCAACTAGGAAAATATGTTTAGATCTCCTGTCTGACAAGGAACTGATAATCAAAATATATAGAAAATTTCAACCATGTAATGAAAAGACAAAAATTCAATATAAAATGAGCAAAATATTTAAATAAACTTTTCTCTAAATAACTAAAAAAAAACCCAAACCCAGCCTCAAACTCATTGTTGTCCACTCAAAACTGGTTCTTAGGTGGCTTTACCGAGAGTTTTCAGAAACTATAAATTGTACAGGAGAGGATTGCCCATCTTTCTCCCTTGGAACAGGTGGTGGATTTGAAAGGCTCACTTTTGTTTTGCTAACACAGTCCACTCCCTCCCCACAAGTCCCCCAGAGTTCTCTATTAGACTAAGTAGGACATTTGAATGATTAACCAGTACTTGGAAAGGTGATCAGGATTGTGAGCTATCAGAGAAATGCAAATCTGAATGATAATGAAATGTTATTTTAGTCGCATTAGAAGATGTTGAGGATAGGACAGGTTTCACGTCCATTGTTTATAGGGTCTCTATGAGTCATACTTGCTCTTACAACAAGATAGCTAAGATTTAAGGAACAAAACACCCTAAATCTTCTGTTTTCCTTATCCATTGTCTAACTCCCTATAGTCAAGCTTCTTGAGTGATTTGCTCAACATACATATTGAATAGGTATAAGGAAAGGATACACGCTAATGCACACCTTTCCTGATTTTAAACTATGTAGATAGTGGTCTCTTTCTCTTTTTGGACAGCTGCTTTTTGGTCTAGGTTTCACATGAACACAAAACAACACAAGTAAACATCTTTCTTGTATTCTCTACTTTCAACCAATAACCATCTAACATCAGCAGTGATATCCCTAGTGCCATAATAGCTTCCTCTGACTCTAGCTTGAATTTCTGGCAGTTCCGTTCTGGCTATTATTAAATGCCGTCTTAAGCAGTATTTTACTTGGATTCTTGGTATAGACTAGTAAGCTTATCCAGGGCTGCATCTGGTTTTTTTTTTTTTTTTGAAACCTTGAATTGATAATCCTTCAATTCCTGGAACCTGCTTTTTGCCAGTGCCTTCAGTGCAGCTTTAACTTTTTCCTTCATTACCATTGATTCTTGACCATATGCTCCTTCTTGTGGTAACCCATTCTTTTGGTATAGTAACTCTGTTCCATCTTTTTATGCTTCCTGTATCATTAAAGATTTTGTAAATAGAATCCTTCAGGATTGCAACTTGACGTTTTAATTTGTTATTCAGGTCTTTTAGCTTGAGAAATGCTGAGCTTATTTTTCCCTTTTGACTTTCTAAATCCAGCTCTTTCACACATTCTGTGCATTATCTTCTCAATCTGCCCTTTGAAATCCATTCAGCTCTCTAACTTTACCATGGTCCTCCCATTGTTCTGGCTTCTCTACACACTCTAATGACATTCATTTTGGTCTTTTCTGGTTTTATGATTACTTTTTCTTTTCTTCGTGGGTAATATTCTTGATGTCATTACACAGTTAATCTGGTCTTTGGTCATTAGTTTTCACGGCATTAAATCTATTCTTGAAATAATTTTTTTTTAAATTTTTTTTATTTTGTGTGCTTGTACTGTCAGATCAGATCTGACTGGTACAGGAGGATATTGCTCCTCCTTCTCCGGCAGGGCATCTGGTGGATTTGAACTGTGTACCTCTGGGATTGCAGTGCAGCTTCTTGCCACTAGGCCACCAGAGCTCCCCTTGAAATAATTTTTAAATTCAGTTAGTCTAGACCCAAGGTTGGATTTTCCTTCTTATGGACTTACTTAATTTTCTTCTTCATACAGTCAACCTCTTCACGTTATTTGCTTAATGTACAGATAAGGTGAAAGGATTCAATGCTAATGTATACTATTCCTGATTTTGAGCCATGCGGTATCCCCTTGCTCTGTTCCACCAGCTGCCCCATGATCTGTGTCCAAGTTCCACAAAAGCATTTGTTACACAATTACCACATCAATCAAGACAAGACCCAGGGGCTGGCTATAGACCAGACCATGAGTTGGTTAAATGCAAGTTCAAATTGAAGCTAAAAAAAGAACCTTACAAGAGCCAAATATGACTTTGCATTTATCACACCTGAATTTAAAAACCATCTTAAGAGCAGATTTGATACACTGAACACTAACCACGGAAAACCAGAGAAGTTCTTGAAGAGACAAAAAAAAGACCTAAATACAGAGCCACTAAAGAGAATGGAAGAAACAAGTGTAAGATAGCTGAATAGAAGATTTCAAAGACCTGGAGTTAGAAACTCAAAATGGAAGAATGCACTGAGTATTTCTCAAGTTGAAAAAAATTATAAACAAATTGATGCCTCATGTTGCAATACTGTAGGATTCTGTGGGCAAAATGTTGAATGATGCAGAAAGCTTCACAAGAAAATGGAAGGAATAAACAGTCACTGTAGCAAAAATAATTTTGGTCAACTTTGAACCATTTCACTGAGTAGTAGATGTTTGAGAATCAGTGGCACTTGAGGAAGTAGTCCAAGATGTGCTGAAGGCAGCTGCAAAAAATTCATCTCCATGAATTGACAGAATACCATTTGAATAATTTCAGCAAAAAAAAAAAAGGCAGCCCTCAAATGCTCTCTTGCTTAGGCCACGAAATTTAGAAGACAACTACCTGGCCATAGACTGGAAGATAGATATTTTTGCGCAGTCCAGAAAAAAAGGTGACCTAACAGAGTGTGGAAATTATCAAATATCATTAAAATCACATACAAGGGGGGGAAATCACATGCAAGTATAATCTTAATGAAAATTACTCAAAAAGGACTAGAACAGTACCTTGACAGAGAATTGCCAGAAATTCAAGCTAAATTCAGAAGAGGCTATAGAACAAGGGATTTAT